TAAAGAGGAGTGAAATATACTCGGAGTTGAGAGTGGATTTCATGCTCTTTATTCAGCTCATAGTGGTGAGGAGGAATGGAAGTTCCCCCAGAATGACTGCTTTATATACATTATTTACACAATGGGCCCCACGTGATTGGCTATTCTGGGATTCTCCTGTAGGCCAATCAGGTTGTGGATTCACTTCTACCAGGAGCTGGATTGGGTGGCTCTTGTGGACCAATCAGACTGCTGAATTCTGAATCCTATTGTTCTAGGACCAATCAGACTGCGGCATTTTGGATCCTATTCAACACAGTACACAACAAGGAGCCTGGGGCAGGAATCAGTAGGGGACCCTGCCAGAGCCCTGTCAGCTGCTTAAGGATGCTGATATCAACTGTGGCTACCATGATGGTGAGGAAGCAGACTAGTGGACTGTGGAATGGCAACATAAAAGTCTGGGACTACAAAAGCACTCACATTTAAAATGGCTGCTGTGCCAGAGTTGCAAGTGATTACTATAAATAGCTGACACTTCAACAAATAGAAACAACATTAAGATTGGAATAAACAGCCAACAAAATATTGGCTAGGCTAGGCTAAGGGCTGAGGAGGAATGGGTTGGCAGGGAAAGGCCATATCACAAAAGTGACACGATTGCCAGGATAAATTTCTCCTCTGTAAGTCCGACATAAATGGGCAGGACTTTCTATAAAGTGCAAGAAATAAGGTGTGTGCATGAGGGTCATGAATCAGGGCAAGCCTTCCAAATTGACCTCTGTGCTTCAGTACCACTGTGTTGTAGTACCAGCTGGCCTTGGCATTCTGTCAGCTGATTCCTAAAAGCTAATCCCTTCCCATTGGGCCTTATAAAAGCCTAGCGTCAAAAGCTATCTCCTCAGTCTGAGCAGCTTGCCTTGGATGTGAGGATGGTGGCTTAGTTAGGGGGGAGCAGAACCTCAATTTGTATTGATTGCCCCCCCCCCGTCTACGCCCATGTATATTTGTGTGTGTTTATACTGTAAATTACAGGGACATGGGTGCTGTGAGTTAAACCACAGAGCCTAGGACTTGCAGATCAGAAGGTCGGTGGTTTGAATCCCCGCGACGGGGTGAGCTCCCATTGCTCGGTCCCTGCTCCTGCCCACCTAGCAGTTCGAAAGCACCTCAGAGTGCAAGTAGATAAATAGGTACCGCTCCGGCGGGAAGGTAAATGGAGTTTCCGTGCGCTGCTCTGGTTCGCCAGAAGCGGCTTAGTCATGCTGGCCACATGACCCAGAAGCTGTCTGTGGACAAACACCAGCTCCCTTGGCCAATAAAGCGAGATGAGCACCGCAACCCCAGAGTCGGCCACGACTGGACCTAATAGTCAGGGGTCCCTTGACCTTTACCTTTATACTGTAAATTGCCCTGTGATCCTTGGATGAACAGCAGTATATAAATCAATGAAACAAACAAATATAATCCTATGGTGACCTGTCATGGATAAAAAACTAATGCTAGGATTTTGACCTCTTTTTATGAGGTGTTTTTATTTTTGTTTTTGCTGCCCCTTATGCTACTGCTATGTTTAGATTATGGTTTTTTTTTAAAAAGTATGTTTATAAAACAGCACAAACATCAGTGGGGAGAACTGGTTACAATAGACTTAATTAGCTATTTATTACTGAAGAAACAACAACAATAATCTAAAGGATTTCAGAGCCAAGTCTGACAGAGGCAGCAGCAGCACATAATTATTAATTTAGGGGAGAAATAAAATAACATGTAGGAGGCTCTGCCAAGCTTTACTGAAACAGAAATACGTTCAGCCACTTAGGAAGGGGACATCTTAACTGTGTGCAGAACCCAAATGCTATGATTCAGAATAACAACTATGGGCAATCATATCTGTAGTCTTTCTGCGATTTTGTCTGGAAAAGAATTCACTGCATTATATACCTGTCACAGTTGATCTTGCCTACACTAAAAACAAAGCACTTGCATTAGTCATTTGTGTTCTTTTCATGCTTCTCATCATACAGGCATTCTTGTTTTTGCACAGCCATCTCTGAACAATGCAGTGTGTGGACTCAGCCCACTGCAATCATTCCCAATTTTGCTTCACGTGCTGTGTTTTTGCTTGGAAGTTGTCAGCCGCACTATACAGGAAAATTAAAGATTTGGGTGTCTTTCTTGATTTATATCGCTTAAAAACTAAGTATACCTTATGTCCATGTTCTTTGAAATTAGCTTCATAACATATTATTAAGGCTGCAAGCGTTACTTGGTAGGTTAATACAGTAAACCAAAAGCTATAGCTGATTAAACGGTGGGACAGATCTGAATAGGAGCAGCTGCAAGTTTAGGGATCTAGGTTTTGTGTGTGTGTTTAATCAATTTATTTATTTTTTTCAGGTTACTTTTCAGGCTAAATGCAACTTTAATCCCATAAGAAAATGTAAACATGTAATAAGGGGATAAATAACATTATTAAAATTCAATAATATATAATATTGTTCAAAATTTTCTAATGTACAGCTTCACTGGATTACTCTGAGTTCTAGTATAATGAGAGAAGAAAAACCTTCAGCCTCTCAGCTTTCTCCACACCATGCATCCTTTTCTTTGTCTCCCCTTCCTTGCATGATTTACTACACTAAACTGTGAATCAGGGTTCAAATCTGCACTGTGATGGGAAAGGCAGAACCAGTAACATGGACCATAGATTCATGGTTGCAAATTAAATGGATGAATGTTTTGTTGACATAGAACACTCAAGATTAGAGGAAAAAATATTGTAGGTCCAAAATATCATGCAAGAACATAAGGCAAGATCTTGTTCTAGATCCAGTATTTGAGATTTTGAGGAATAAAGATTTTAAGAATTTAGTTTAAAGACCAGTTAACAAGTTGAGACTATCTTCAACTATCTTTGGGAGCATCTAAATCTGCATAGGATTGGGCTATAAGGTTCTCCTGTCCTTCAACAGCGAGTGCATATGTGTATAAAAAAGAAAAGAAAAATCCAATCCATTTTTTAGTCCTTTCTTTTCAATTAGTAATCTTTTTTTGTAAAAGAAAAGATTAGCAAACTTGACTGAATTCCTGAAACTGACAGGGTATAATCAAAGGAACTTCAGTTGCAATTCAATGCCATCCTTTGCTTTTGCCCTGTACTCTGGCTGGGACCCAAAGGAGTATTTTAGCTGTCTGAGGGGTTCAGACATGAACACTGGGTTGTTACTTAAAAAACAACAACACTATTTCATTTCTTTGAAGAGTATACAGTGGTACCTCGGGTTACATACACTTCAGGTTACATACACTTCAGATTACACACTCCGCTAACCCAGAAATATTGCTTCAGGTTAAGAACTTTGCTTCAGGATAAGAACAGAAATCGGGCTCCAGCGGCGTGGCAGCAGCAGCAGGAGGCCCCATTAGCTAAAGTGGTACCTCAGGTTAAGAACAGTTTCAAGTTAAGAACGGACCTCCGGAACGAATTAAGTACTTAACCTGAGGTACCACTGTAGATCCTTATGCCATTTCAGGATGAAGACTCCTCATCTTTGCTTTCAAAGTCTTTAATGTTCTTGCCTTCATTTGTTCTCACTCTGCCATAATATCCTGATGCAGCAGGGATAGAAGGTCAAGACCCTCCAGGTCTCTCAGTCTGACCCTCACCCCATCACACCCCTCCCCAGCTACTCCCCTTCTCACCAGGCCACACTTCTCAGTGGCCCTCCTTCGCAGCATCCTTGAGATCTTTTGCCCAGCTGGAACGTGTCTTCGGACCCTTGCTTGTCTAGATGGAAGATAGAAAGGTATGCAGAAACCAGCCTACTGAGGTTGTTTGTTGTATATTACTGAAGCAATTTTTTTTTACTGGACCTAAAGTAATATGGAAATTAAATAAAAACATTTATTATTATTTTTTAAAATCATTGAATTGTAGAGTTGGAAGGGACCTTAAGAGTCATCTAGTTCAGCCCCCTAACTACTGCACAAAGGTAGTGTACATTCATTGCTCTGCTCATTTTTGCCTCTGGACACGTCCTCTTCTATATGGTCCCTGGAAGGTTGTTCAGAAGGTTATGCAGTCCTCAGACTGAAAAAGTATCATCATCCCTATGATATAACCATCCTAATGTATTCCCCCAACACTCAGTTTTCCTAAGGCTTCATGCTTCCTTAAATGACTCTACACTTTCTCCCTTATGCCTGGAATTACCACACAGACAGTTTTTGTGAGGCCGCCTTATTGCTTCTTCCAAATCATTGTAATTTCAACCATGTATTCTTAGGAATGTGGGTGGCGCTGTGGGTTAAACCACAGAGTCTAGGACTTGTTGATCAGAAGGTTGGCGGTTCGAATCCCCGCAATGGGGTGAGCTCCCGTTGCTCGGTCCCTGCTCCTGCCAACCTAGCAGTTTGAAAGCATGTCAAAGTGCAAGGAGATAAATAGGTCCCGCTCCGGTAGGAAGGTAAACGGCGTTTCCGTGTGCTGCTCTGGTTCGCCAGAGGCAGCCTAGTCATGCTGGCCACATGACCCGGAAGCTGTACGCCGGCTCCCTCGGCCAATAAAGCGAGATGAGCGCCGCAACCCCAGAGTTGGCCACGACTGGACCTAATGGTCAGGGGTCCCTTTACCTTTACCTTTATGCTTAGCAGTCCTACTGAATTAAGTAGGACTTGCTCCCAGGTGTAGGGTTAGCACGGCAGCCTTGGTCACTACACCCACCTGTAGTTATGCCTTAATCTCCACACATGGTGTGTAATTGAACTGTATGTATTTTCTCCATTGTTCACCCTTGTCTTTATGTTTTGTAGAATGTCTATTTCGTTCTACAGGTTTGTTTAATTACTGGGTTAATACCGATCAATCCCAATGCTGGAACTTCTTACAGATTAATGAGAACCCTACCTCTAACTACAGGGACAAGTTTGATTAGAAACATGTACACCGTGATCCTATAAATGTTTATTCAGAAATAAGAACCACTGAGATTGATGGGGATTACTGTTGAGTTAGAAAGGCTGTAGCTCAGTGGCAGAGTCCATGCTTTGCATGCAGAGGTTCCAGGTTTAATCCCTGCCATCTCTAGGTAAGCTGGACAATAGCCCTGTCTGAAACCCTGGATACACACAGTCAGTGTAGACAATACTGAGTTAGATAGACTAATGACAACTTCATATGTTCCTACACTCAGGTAAGCAGTGGTAGCTGGTGCTCATTGGGACCTGGAACAGCAGAATACAGGGATCCTGACAGTAGGAGGAGCTGCAACCAATGACAGGCAGAGCCAACTAATTTTACTTTTGTCCCATCCTCCTCCCTGCTGAATTGTACAAGGGCAATACAGTGGTACCTCGGGTTACATACGCTTCAGGTTACAGACTCCGCTAACCCAGAAATAGTACCTCGGGTTAAGAACTTTGCTTCAGGATGAGAACAGAAATCGTGCTCCGGTGGCACGGCAGCAGCAGGAGGCCCCATTAGCTAAAGTGGTGCTTCAGGTTAAGAACAGTTTCAGGTTAAGAACGGACCTCCAGAACGAATTAAGTACTTAACCCGAGGTACCTCTGTAATGAGACTAAGGAGAAGGAAGCTAATGGGCAATGCTGTCACCCTCTGGACTGTAAGTTAGAAGGCAGACAGATGGGAACTGCCTGAGAGCAGACTGAGATTGGTTGGGCAGTGTCTGCATTTGCCCTAATAAACCCGCCTCCGCTGCAGGCAAATGTATGTATGATTGCAGCATTAATCTGGGTTTTCTTGACACTATCTTATAAATTCCTTTGTTAGAATCTTGCTGATTATGTTTGTCAAGCTCTGCTGAAGTGAGAAATGAAATAGCCTCTCTCCTCTTCTATTCACTTTTAAAAAAATTTATTGATGATCTTCCTTGATCTCTTTGCAGGCTGTTTAGAAGACACAGCTTATTGACAGAATGATCATCTAGGGCTCTTCTTTAGGCACCAGAACAGTTGAAAGTTGAAGTACTGCTGTCCTGAGATACTGTTTCTGCTGCTGAATCAGAAGGGTTGGATTTTTGAGGGAAATTCGCAGGGGTTAGCGCATGCTGGAATCCAGCGGCATATTTCTGAAGGTCACAACTCAGCCAATTCACCACATTGCCTTTCTCACAGCGGCCTTGCTTGAAAAAGCAGACAGCTCCTTCAGTGTTGGCTGAATTTTTGTTTTCATCTTTTATTATAACTATCTCCTTCTCCTCCAGATCAAATCCACCAATAGGTTCCATGTCACTGGACTCGCTAGTAGACGGCTTGGAATTCTGACCTCTCTCTTTTGCGTTCAGGCTGGAGACATCCACAAAGCAGACCAGTTTCCGCTCCTTGTCACTTTTCAGTTTTTCACTGCTGAAGAGGTTAACTTTACACAGGCTTGCCCGACAGTGCAACCAGTCAATGTCTGGAGCCATCATGGTTGGAATAAGAGACTCAAACTCAGAATGTTCTTTCTGCTGAACCCGTGCCATGTTCCTGTGAGACTCAAGATGTGTGTCTCCTCTTTCACTTTTCCATACCCTTCTACTGACAGACGGCACCTTCACAGATGTGGACACACAGTTGCTCTGGCAGCAATGACATCACAAAGCATCAGCCACAAACCAGTGATGTGTCAGCAGTGTTTTTAAAAAGAGACTGTATTATGGTTGTGTAATACTTCCAATGTCAGAGGCAGTATGCCTCTGAATACCAGTTGCTGAGAATCACAAATGGGGAGAGTGTTGTTATGCTCAGGTCTTGATTGCAGGATTCTCAATAGCATTTGCTTAGCTTTTGTGAGAACAAGATGTTGGACTAGAATGGACCTTTGGTCTGATCCAGCCAGGTTCTTCTTATGTTCTAATAACAGAAGGTCCCTTGTTTGGTTTTTACTGAATAAAGTGGGGAGGCATTTTCGGGCTTCTTTTTCTTTTTTTAAGTTGTAAGCAAGAACCCAATCAAGTAAACCATATTTATCAGAGCTGATTTAAAAAAATCCGTTTTTACGAACTTGCGGTAATCCGTTCCAGAAGTCCATTCTTAAACCAAAGCGTTCTTAAACCAAGGCGTGCTTTCCCATAGAAAGTAATGGAAAATGGATTCATCCATTCCAGACGTTGAAAAACAACCCCTAAAACAGGAATTTAACATGAATTTTACTATCTAACGAGACCATTGATCCATAAAATGAAGGCAATAATCAATGTACTGTACTATAAAATAAATAAGACAGTATTGTAGATGATTAAAATTATTATTTTTTCTTACGTGCACTGATGATAGTCATTGTTTGGATGGGTTTTTTTATCCATTTCTGCAGTCACACTATCAACCAGGAGCTGAACTGGGTTCCACAAAAACAAGTCACAAAAATGAAGTAACAAGCCACAGTCACAAAAACGAAGTCACAAGCCACAGTCACAAGTCAGTCCCATAAAACGAAGAACAAGTCACAGTGAAAAAAATGAAAATGCCACACAAACAAAAACGCAAAAAAAAAAAGCAAAAACAAAAGCTCCAAATATCACTTCTGTGTTGTGTGGGTGCTTGGGACTCAACAGCCGGCAAACTCAACAGGAAGCCTCTGATTAGCAGCGGGGGACTCAATTTACAAATGGAACACACTCAACAGGAAGCGGAACATGTTATAGAACTTTTTTTATGTATGCAACAACAGCAGCAAGAATACTCATCGCGAAATATTGGAAGACACAAGATTTACCCACCCGGGAAGAATGGCAGATGAAGTTGATGAACTACATGGAACTGGCGGAAATGACTGGCAGAATCCGAGACCAGGGAGAAGAGTCGGTGGAAGAAGACTGGAAAAAGTTTAAAGACTATTTACAAAAATACTGTAAAATTAATGAATGTTAGAAAAATGTTGGAATGAAGTTATATGGCTTTAGTAGAAATGTTATAAGGAATTAAGTACAAATAGATTAATAGAGTATTAAAGGAAAAAATAAGGTTAGAATGTGTTAAGATAATTATAGGATAGAAAACAGAGGAAGATGGAAAGGAATTGCTGAAACAATTAATAGAATTGGAATACAAAAAGGGAGGTGTGAGGAGGTCGATGAAATAAGTGAATGAAAGATAAGATATTGGAACTGTTTGATGTGTTTTAAATTGTTTTTGTTTTGCTTTGTTAGTGTTAGTGTTATGTAGTGTTTTTGTATTGTATTGTATTGTTCTCTTTTTTATGTCTGTGTGTTGTAGTGTTTAAATTGTTGGAAAAGTAATAAACATTATTAAAAAAAAAAAAGGAAGCGGAACATGTTCTGCTTCCAAGGCAAAGTTCACAAACCAAAACACATACTTCTGGGTTTGCAGCATTCTTATTCCAAGTTGTTCATAAACTAAGCTGTTCTTAAACCAAGGTACCACTGTACTTGCTCTCTCAAGAATACTCAGAAATGTGAGGCGTTAGGAGTCCAACGTTGTTTATTGCAAAGCAATAGGTTACAGTCGGATTGTTCTGCAAAACTGCAGCCCTGCCCAGTGATCCAGGCAGTGGTATTTATAAAATTTCAAACAAAGCATTTAAATTCCCACCAATCATATACATCATTACCTCATTTCATGTTTAATACACATGTGCAATAAGCACTGGCAATTTCTGCTGATTAAGTTTTGATTCCGTGTTCTGTTACATTGTGTTAGTTGTGCATGTTGGGAACCTGTGTTACATGTAGCCATTTGCACCATGTAGCAGCTTATGTTCTAGCTTGGAGCTGTATGTTTGTAATTCACATATTAGCTGTATTTCTGCCCCAGTTGGGGCGGGGGCAGGGGCAGCAACTTGCAAAATAATGTTTCATAAAGTAAGAGGCTACCATAACTTCTGTATTAGAAGCGCACTCAAGGATTTACAGGGGTACACATTATTACATTTATTGTGGCCACTGCCACACCATCATCCGTGAACCCAGTGGAGGCTGGTCTATGAGGGCAATTGCCCCACCACCCTCAGTCTGCTGTCTGTCAACCCTGCTTCCATATTAACAACTTAGTTGTGGGGACTTTGTCCATCATTCGCTCTGGCGCCACTGACTGCTGGGCCTCCCTGCCTTCTACTCTGCTAGTCCCAATGGACACCAGCCACCACGTCTGGTACATTCACGATTGAGGGCTATGTTCCTTCAATGGCAACATTCCAGGGGCCGCATGCCGGGGTGTGTGTGACCAGAGGCAAAAGTCGGCGGGGCAAGAGTTGTGACTCTTAATTTTGCTACACGATGCAAACAGTATGAGGGGGCTTCCTAGCTGTTGTCTGTGTGGTGGAGCATTTGCCACGTTATGTACTGAGCTGAATAGGATCCAAAATGCAGCAGTCTGATTGGTCCTAGAATAGGATCCAGAATGCAGCAGTCTGATTGGTCCGCAGGAGCCACCCAATCCAACTCCAGGTGGCAGTGAATCCGCAACCTGATTGGCCTACAGGAGAATCCCAGAAATAGCCAATCACGTGGGGCCTATTGTATAAATAATGTACGGTATATAAAGCGGACATTTCAGGGGAACTTCCATTCCTCACTACTATGAGCTGAATAAAGCATGAAATCCACACTCGACTCCGAGTATATTTCACCACATGAAGACAAATCCAGGACAGGCGGGGGGGAATTGTGTTTGTGACCCTCCCTGAAATAGTTGTATCTTATTACAGTATTCAAGCACTACAGCCTTTTGTATTACAGTATATGCAGGGTGTGGGAATACCGAATACGAGCTCTGACAGGATGAGAGGAAAAAGCCGTTAAGACGCTTTTTGAGTTGGCCACGCCCCATCTCGCTCCGTGGCCACGCCTCTCCCTGCTGTTTCGAAAGGGGAGCGTTGGAGACAGAAGGGCGCGCTCCCGCCTCCGCGTGACGTCACCCGGCGAGCGGATTGGCGGAGGGTGTTCTGGTCACGTGGCTTAACGAAGCCGGTGACGTCCCTCCTCGGCTTCGTCCATTCAAACGCGGATGGCGGGAAAGGCGGAGGAGGCGCTTTTCTGAGGCGACGGCGGGTGTGGCTCGTTGCGTTTGGGGGAAAAGGGCGCTGAGGCTTCAGGGGGCTCCCTTCCTGACATGCCGTTGGGTAATGATGATTTATTAAATGTCTGTCCTGCCCTTCTATCCAAAGTGGGGGTGGATGCAAGTGCTTTATGCGTTATAGTAACGTGATATATATATGTGTGTGAGTGAGAGAGAGAGAGAGGGAGAGCGCCGGGGGGGGGGGAGGATTTCAAATCGTGGCTGAAGCCTGCCTTGGAAGTCGCGTACACATCAAGGGTGCGGGTAACCGGCGAAAGGCACACTGCACATGTACAGGGACGCGCGTAACCTGGAGAGTTTGGAAATTGAGCCTGGGACCTTCTGTGTGCCACACAGGTGCTCCAACTTTTGAGCTCCAACTAAAGGCATAGGGAACTGATCCATCCAGCTTCGTATTGTTTACAGTGACAATGAGCCCTGCCTCAAATTGCCAAGGATTGAACTGTACAGTGGTACCTCAGGTTACATACGCTTCAGGTTACAGATTCCGCTAACCCAGAAATAGTACCTCGGGTTAAGAACTTTGCTTCAGGATGAAAACAGAAATTGCACAGCGGCAGCAGGAGGCCACGTTAGCTAAAGCGGTGCTTCAGGTTAAGAACAGTTTCAGGTTAAGAACGGACTTCCAGAACGAATTATGTACGTAGCCAGAGGTACCACTGTAAAGGCATAGGGGACTGATCCATCCAGTTTAGTATTGTTTACAGTGACAATGAGCCCTACCTCAAATTGCCAAGGATTGAACTGTACAGTGGTACCTCGGGTTACATACGCTTCAGGTTACATACGCTTTAGGTTACATACTCCGCTAACCCAGAAATATTGCTTCAGGTTAAGAACTTTGTTTCAGAATGAGAACAGAAATTGTGCTCCAGCGGCGTGGCAGCAGCAGGAGGCCCCATTAGCTAAAGTGATGCTTCAGGTTAAGAACAGTTTAAGGTTAAGAACAGACCTCCGGAACGAATTAAGTACTTAACCCGAAGTACCACTGTACTATAAAAAGGTAAAGGGACCCCTGACCATTAGGTCCAGTCGTGGCTGACTCTGGGGTTGCGGCGCTCTTCTCGTTTTATTGGCTGAGGGAGCCGGCGTTCAGCTTCCGGGTCATGTGGCCAGCATGACGAAGCAGCTTCTGGCGAACCAGAGCAGCACACAGAAACGCCGTTTACCTTCCCGCCGGAGCGGGACCTATTTATCTACTTGCACTTTGAGGTGCTTTCAAGCTGCTAGGTTGGCAGGAGCAGGGACCGAGCAGCGGGAGCTCACCCCGTCCCTGAACTGAACTATAGTCCTCTATAAAAAAGAAAAATCGGGGGGTGGGGGCTGTTTCAAGCGCTAGCAGGAGAAACGGGATTGAACATGAGACCTCTGCATGCAAAGCAGATGAACTGCAACCAGGAACATAGTGAGCTGCTTTATACTGAGTTGGATCCACCTTAGCTCAGTTTGCTGACTGATTGCAGTTCTCTCAGGGTTTCAGACAAGAGTTTCTCCCAGGCTT